CTTTAAAATATTACGCATATACTCGTGGAAATATTGTCACTCCGATGCATATATACATAGAATAGTGTTATCGAGAAATAAATTACGAATACTTAACAATAACGTCAATAACTTAACTTTATAGTAATATAGTAAAAGTATATTCCTATTATATTCTGTAATATAATATATTTAAGTGTTTTAAATTGAATACATTTTTTGTCATTCATTAAGGCTTAAATTCCATTTAATGTTTCACTATGTAAAATTGATTTAATGTTCAATGAATAATAAAATTAATTTTTCTTATAATTTCCAATTTTTATTTATAGTTTAGTCAAATATAAGATTCACTATTGTAGATTCATATTCATATATTAAAAGATATATACGTATACTCCTATTTTATTCTATCAAATAATAAACTATTATCATTATTGTATTATGTGAAAATTGTTATATGCTTTAAGCTATAAATCGGTTATGAAACGGTGTCAATGATCGTTTAATCGATTTTTGTAATATAATATATTTATAGATAACTATTCTGCGATTTTATTTTAAAAGTTTATCATATTTACGACCTAGTCGTAAAATGTTGACTGAAATTCTTTATTTAATATTGATGTAGAAAATAAAATTCTAATCTATCAATGTTCGTTGAATTAAAACTATTTAAATAAATAGAGAAATATATTTCTATGAATCTTTGGTTAAAATGGTATTGAATTATTTATATTGCGATAATTATATCTATTATTTATACTATAATCTATAAATCAGATTAAAATCAAAGTTGCAATATAAATTTGAAAGCTGTAGATTTTTTTGTCATATTAACTTAAACTAATTAATAATATAAAGTTGTACTATAATTATAATATTTTATATGACGTACGTATATTTGATTACGTTTAATACATTTGAATACTTTAAGTGTGTACTACTTCCAAAAGCTTTGAAAACAACAAAACATGTTTTTGAAATATTTTTATCTTGCGTATTAAAGTTTACTATTAATAATATACACCCTTCATCCATCATTGGCTTGAAAATATTATGTATTTACCTATATTTTATGTATTCATAAAATGTCTCAATAGCACATAACTGTTATAATTTAACTTATATTATATTAATTTATTTGTTAGACTCCTTCTCTTATTTAATATTATTAGTAAACTTGTACTAAATCTTTAAAATAACTAAATTCGACTGTAATATAAGCATTATAGGTACCTTATTTATAGAACAGTGATTTTATCGTTACTCATCACCGGATCGCATCGTTGAAACTGACTAATTTATATAGAAAGATGAATACTGTGGTGAGTCATTGAAGGAATCGTTATTACGCATCATTATCACAATTCGCGACACGGGTCAGTGTTGGCCATGTCGACATTGAATTTCGAGCAAGGTCGTTGTTTTTTATTTATTATAAATACTGAATATTATGTATGTATTTTTTAAATTCGTATAATCGCATACCGTATAATCTTTATTATCATGGTTATAATAATTTTTTCTGTAGATATTGTTTACATATTTAATGGTCAATACTGCATGAATGATTTAGACTTTAATAATTATAAGTACGTAGTTTTATTTCCCATATTTTTAATAATTTGGATAAAAATATATATTTTTTAATTATTGATAAAACATCTTATTTTATGTAATAACAATTAGTATCATAATATTAATACGATAATAAGACATTTACTTAAAAAAATAAAATATTATTATAACTTTTAAAATGTCTTAGAAAAGACTAGATATTTTGCCATGAAAAAAATTTAAATTCTAAATTTCTGATTCTTTGTATGTATTTTATAATTGAAATCTTCACTTAAAATGTCCTCTTGAAAAAATGAACCGGGCCAAAATATATTATTTAAATCAATATAAGTAGCTTAAAAGAAATTGCCGAAATACCACGTCGAATAGCAATTGCTGACTGCAACATTGTTTAGCATTTTATAAGTAGTCTTAACTTACATTTTTAAATTATATTTTCTATTTGATTACAATTTGTTTAACTTATAGTCAGTACTAATTATCTAATGAATACAAATTATTTATTTTGTATTATGTTTTATTTAATTCTTCAAAAATGATAAATTTTTAACATTTTAGTAATTTAAGGGGTAATTTATTAAATTATATTAATTTTTATTATGAATATATCCAAGTAAATATGTTAAATAGGTTTTAAAATATGCAAATATATAACATCTAACTATAATACCAAGTTTATAAAAAAATCAATATAACAATAAATGACTCATTCGACGACCCTCTGTCCAGTATAAACAGTTGAACTGTTGAAAACCACTGGCGTCGACGATGAGTCACGAGTTCCTAGTCGGTTGGGGCAGACGAAAGGGGAGAAAGTGTCGTCTTATGTTGAATGCGTTTATAGTAGGTTTGTGTACCGTTGTTAGTTGTTTTTAAATTGGATGTTGAATAGTTGTTTAATTTATCAAATTTTTCAAACGTTTACACTACATACATATTTCTTATCTGCACTTGTACAATGAAAATTCATAGTTACCCTTTTTATTAGTAGGTACACATTAATGACTTCAAATAATACAATGTCAAGTAATTCAATTAGATTGAAAAGAAAACTCTTACAAAACTTTTTTTTAATTAAAATCCTCGTTTTAATTATTTGCAGTCAAGCTGCGTATAATATACATATACAAGCATAAATTCCCTAGTTTGTATAAAGAGTTATTCTTGAAACCAAAATATGAAGCTTATAATTATTTACGTATGTTTGCATTTTAATAACATTTTGAAGTACTTTATATGCTACAAATAATAACTTACCACTTCATGCATTAGTTTTTATTTTAATTTTACTCGAGTAATAATCTACACAATGTTTTTAATTTTTAAATAGCTTTGCTAGTATGAAAAAGAATAATAATTTGTAATATAATAATTATGTTATTTGAACTTTCATTCTTATTTTTTTTTTTAACTAATGTTTATTTATTTGTATTAGGTATGTATTAAATATTATTATATTTTAATACCTAATTTAATTTCCCAATAATTACGTAATATTTTTATTATAGTTAATATTATCTGTGCATTTTAATTTATGGTATCGATTTATTTATTTTTAGTTAGTAATTTTGAAAGTATGTTTGTTGTTGAAATCAAAATGTATTCATGTTAATAAATCTTCTCGTTATATAATCCGCATTAAAAACATTATTATTTATTGATTGAAATCGCTTAAATTCTTTGGTACGAAATTAACATGATTTAAATTAACGTTTTAGTGATGTGATAAGTTTAATGGCATAGTACATTCGATTATTAATAACCTTAAATTTATCATGAGATCATTAATATTCGTCACTATATAGTTATTGCTGTTTTATATTTATACATTAAATTATTGGACAAAATTATGAAAATAAAAATAATTTCTAATTTATTTTTATATTATTTAAATATTGAATGTTTAGTAATAATTAGTACACAGTTTTGTTACATGTAATGGTTTTTGAACCTATAATTTAAACGTTTATTACGTTATTATATCAGTATTCAATAATAATTTATATTTAATAAAAATGTTACTAATTTTAATAACTAATATATGAATAATTAATATTAAAAGTTAATGATAATCGTAGTAAAAAAAAAAATATGAATACATCTTATATCAATAGCGTTTAAATATTGTTGAGTTAATGTTTTAAAAATCATACCTACTTAATTAATCAACAATTGGGATAATTTATATAATATACCAACGAGTATCACTATCTATACTATTATTATATGACTGTATGGTTATTATATGTTATTTTTCTTATCAAAATTGATTCTATTTAATCGAAAAAGTCTACATCTAACATAAAATATATGTTGTATATATTACATAATTATGCAAAAAAATAAGATAAATATCATCCAGTTAAAAATATTATGTTGTAATAAAATAATGTACAACAATGGTTAAAACAGTTTTTAATGACTTCCAATAATAGTTTAATCTTAAAATTAAATATTTGTTTATTTATCAATTTATTTTTAATATGGTTCTTGATTATTATTTTGTCTTACATATTTAAATACCAAAAAATATTATGTTTATTAAATAGATACATATAATATAAAAAAATATTTAATTCGAAAAATATAATATGTACTTATATTATAATTCGGTAAAATTAAACATGTTATCATATCTTATACCAATTATTAGTTGTTTTAAATTTACAATATTGTAAAATAAATATTGACGTAAGAAATATTTTAATTTATTTAGTTGTAAACAATATAACTATATTAAATTTCTCTTTCTAAATTGATATTATCTCGAACTGATACTATACATTTTGCATTTGGTATGTATGTACTACTGTGTATAGCATATTAGAATAGCAATAGTGTGTTTTAAGTAACATAATATAACCTAAACATACAACATAATACAACTCGGTTCAAGGACAAAGGTAATGATCACAGGATGTATGCAAGACATTCCCGTTCAAATTGAATTATGTCTGGTGGTCAAGTCAATCGCTTATCCACTAGTCTATCTATTTAATTTTTATTATTATCAGTGCAACACGCTTGTATACAGCGCACGTATAATAGATGGACGTTTATTTTAAATCACGTACCTTATGCATTCTCATTCTACTATAATTTTTTTAGTATTATAAACCACAAGATTTATTTATTTTTTTTTGTTATGCATTACCGGAAATCATCACTATCAACGGATTCCCAAAATATTTTAGTTAAATATTAATTGTAGTAAATAATTCAAATTGTTTCGATATAAATGTTAAATATTGAATAATAAATCGTTAAAACAGATAATCTGAGTATTTTATAAATTATAATTCTTTGTATTCAATGAACAAATTCCCCGCCGACTATTTAGTTCAGTGTTTTTTACAGATAAGGCTGCATTAGTGTGACATTTAGGTTCGTGGTGGGGCTAACGATAACTAATTTTGATATTTTCGTTATTATTGTTTCAGAATAGTTTGACAAAGAAGCTGTGTTCCGAATCGAAAACTGTTAATTGAAGAAAAACATTGTATAGTGTTTGACTTTTTAATTGCTAAATTTTATACACGCAAAAACCAGTTGTTTTTATTTTGGTGACTAATTAAATAATTAACACAATATGGGAGCCAGACAAAGCAAAAGATCTGTAGACATATCTGCCGGAGCTACAAAAGCAGAAAAAGGAGCAGCTGGAGAACCTTTAGAAAATGGCACAATTACAACTGCTTCAGCTGATGAGAAACAAGTTGTTGAGGCAAATGGTGGAGTAGAAGAAACAACCAAACAGAATGGATCAACTCCTCACATAGATGAAAAGGTTTGATTTTGTATTATGTTATTCTATGCCAATTTTATACTTTTTTTGGTTAAATTACTATTTAATTTTTAATATTTCACATAGTTTATGTTCAAAGGTATTATAAAATGTAACATGTTTTTATTTATAGTTGGACTTTAGAATTATATATATATATTAATTTATTGACATTTTATTGAATAAGAACATAAGTCTAAACATCTAAATAATATCAATTATAATAAATACTTTTATCCCAGGAATCATTTTAAAACAATAAATTACTTTAAGAGATCCAATAGTCTAGGTAATTAAAATGCTATGATTATATAATGTTTGTAATTATTTTATTTTAAGCATTCAGTGGCATTTGAGCATTTTAGTTTTTAACCTATGTTAATTTTAGCGTCACGGTTTTCTTCGGTTTGTAATTTGACCTAGACCTTTGATTTGTATTTGTTTTATCTTGTTAGTTGTGCTCTACGGTAGGTATGCAAGTCGTGAAATATTCTTTGTATAAATACCATTATCTAATATTTGGCTAGATAATAATTTATCATATTTATTTAGAAATAAATTGATTCATCCATAAAAATGTATCTCTTTTAAAATAATACTTGTATTTTCTATATTTGTTAAATTCTTATTTATGAACATAGACATGGACTGTAAAATAACTAAATCCGAACATTTTATTCTATAAATATAATATTAATTATTTAGTAATTTAATTAAATTGCATTTTATGATTTAATATTTTAATTTTCTAATGGAATTACCAGATAAAATTAATTGTTCATCTCATAAATAATTATCCTAGTACGAGTATCAATGTATCACATCATTTGTTTATTTCCAAAAAAATATTGATTATATTAATATAATTTACAATGTTAAATTCTAAAATCTTTTTTAATATATTATTAATTACACAACTTTTATAATAACCTTAGCTCATTCATTACTTAGAGAACTACAAGTTTTGAAAATATATTTATGTATATATACACATGATTTAAATCATTACAAACCAACATTTTGAAGTTAATTTTACTGTTCGTTCAAATTTAGGACTTTATAAATCGGAAATTCCTAAAATATTCAGCTTTGAAATAAAATATGAAAATAATAATCTATGCTGCCATTCTAAATTTTAAAAATTATAAAGTTTTCATGTATGTTTGCAATAACTTGAAGTTATATGTAAAAAATTGTAGTTTATTAATATGCTAATTATTTTAGTTTTAAATAACTATTTAGAGTAATAGTCCACAAAATGATATGATTTAAATATTCTTATTATATTTTTATATAGTTGCCTCGGCTAACATTCTTTTGTTCTTGTATAAACACAAAATCAGCGTTTATTGATTGCTACACGCATCTGTACTTTTAACTTTGTTTAATTAATCTAGATATATATATATTATGTCTATTATTATGTTTTAATATTTAAATACTATACTGTATAAAATATGAACCTATAAGGTTATGAAAACATTTTATTTTATTTTATCTAGGTATTATAGTAAATTGTATATAAAGTAATTTCTTGTACATTTAGTATTTTCTCAAATAATTAAATACAAATGTAGCATGAATATCTGTTTTAGATATTTAAATTTAGATTAACAGTTGATTAGAAAATATAAACAAATGTTTTACATAAGTAAAATATAATTAAATAGTCATAATAATATAAAATGCAATGATTATTTTAAATTGTTGAGTATCTAGAGAATAAATTATTATTTGCGTTGGTATTTAGTTTCATCTTCTTAATGATAAAATTAAGAAAAATAAAAATAAGTTTCCTTGCAAAAAATCGAAAACGATTGTGCTTTTTAATATGAATTATTTAAATTACCCCTTCATTATAAATTTCATCGCTGTTAATAGGTTTTAAATTTATTAAATCCCCTTTTAGAGGTGATTGCTAATTTTAAATGTAGCAGTCATAAGAGAAGAGGGGTATAGTAATATTATGGTTTTAAATCTGAAGTCTCGATGTTAAAATAAAATCGAAATCATTGGATACCAAAAACACATCAATAATAAAAAGTAGATCTGTTGTTATATAAATGTTTGAATTTAGCATGCATACGATATAAATTAAAACGTGCTAATGAGTAATAGTTGGTTTTTAAGTTTAGATATTTCGATTTTGTTGTTATTATAGTTATTGTTATGAACAAACGTCTATAATATAAATCAATTTTAATTTAATTGAATATAAATATAGTCAAAATTTTGTTAAAATATTACGTAAATATCATATTACAATAATTATTTTTCCAGGAAATTGCTGAAACCGAAGATGTCAAGGAACCTGTTAAAACTGAAGAAGAAAAAACTGAAGTTGTAGCACCGATTTCTGAAGCTAATGGTGATGTAGACACTGTTGCAGATGAATCGTCTAAAACTCCAACTGACGAAGCCACTTCAGAAGAGGTACAAGCATCTGCAGAAAAAAAACGCAAGAAGAAAAAGTCGTGGTCATTCAGAAGCATCAGTTTCAGTAAGAAAGATAAATCCAAACCAGTAGTAAAGGAACAAACTGCTGTTGACGTAAAAAACGAAACAGTTGAAGAGGTAAGATATGAACAAATTAAGAATTTTAAAATAAGATGAAAGTATATAGTTGAATGTTGAGTTTTATTAATGCTTGAGTTTAAATATTATTCATTATTATCGTTTTTAAAGATTATACTTTAAACTATATTATTAAGCTTATCGTTCTTACATTTAAGATTGTCTATTTCTGTTTTGGTTTAATTTTTTTTATTAACTATGAATCGGAATAAATTATATCAGAGATAAACGAATCTTAACATTTTAATTTCTGATTAATTTGGTTAGTAAGTATATATAATGCGTATTTAGTATAAATCTGGACTTAACTTATAAAATACTAAATTTTATAGTTGATAAATTGTATCTATTATTAGTAAATAATAACTAATGACATACATTCGAATGTATGAATAAGAAATTGTTTTTTAGTTCAAATAAATATTAGTAGCATATAATGTTATTTATTCTGAAATTTACTAATTTTATATTTTTCATAATACAAAGGTACTTTTTATAAACCTAGTTTTAATTTGGAACAATTATAATCCCAAAATCCTTCAATATAAAAAAGGTCATTCTATTTTAATATTATTATTATTATTTTTTTAAGCTAGGAGATTATGTATTAAATAATTTATTATACATTTTTTCTTAGATTTTAATATATTTAGTAATTGATGGATAATAAGTTCTCTAAATAGTTTTCGGCCCAGTTTTGTCTTGTGTTCTAGTTTAGAATGTTCTGAATAGGTTTTATTTTACTTTTTTCTATATTATTCTTGGCAGCAGCTTGGTCACAAAAGCAATCGTGAAACCTTGAACCTAGCACGTTGGAGGACGTTGACTTGTTTGAATACCCGATGTGTGATAGCCCTATATATCAGTTCCTCTAATGGTATTGTTGTACACATATATAACGTACTAGATCGCGCGCGTGTTGATAGTCACGAATTTTACTGCGTTTTAATTCTTGGTTGTTGCTAACGGAGAAGCATACGAGATGTGGAAAGGGTTACAGTATTGGTATATTATATGTGCCTTACGCAATCAGGATTAATAACATTTTGATTTCTTAAAAATGAACAACAATAGCCGCTCGAAAATTGTCCGCCTAAACAATAAACATACAAACGCACCTCTTTGATGATGGTATATAGCTTATTATGTTCAGGCGTACGTGGATATAGTTTGAGGGTTTTCTTTGAATACAATATGCGCTACACGACTTTTGTCTACAAGAAACTGCGATCAAGGAATTATTAAGTTATTATAATGTTGTATCTTTTAATTCTAAAGTATTTTTTTTTTTTTTTTTTTTTATCCATAAACCGCACCTTGATAAGTATTCATAAAATTTATAATGCACTCTGTCCGTTCCTGAAGGCTTCTGAAAATATGTTGTATTATAATATTTGTTTAAACTAGTTGTATATTAATAATAAATAATGTTACCCTCTACTGTTTAATTTTAATGAAAACGGTTCTTAGAGTGGGTGTAAAGAATAATGACTTCCTCTTACTTAACTCCAAGAGCAATTTCTCTAAGAGGTACTTAGCGTACTAGAAGTAATACTCATAAAATAAACTCTTGACATAAAAATATGTCCATTGGGTGTTTAAATAACAAATTTAGTGGTTATTTGCGGGATATGTAGCAGAATTATTGTAGCTGCTAAAAGCATATGTCTCATAAATAATAACAAATGTATATCGATTTTAAAATTAATATTTATTATGATCAGAACGTATGAGATTTCTTATTTTAAATTGGTTAATAAATGCATTTATGTGTTCATTTTTCAATTAATGAGTATATTCTTATTAAATTGAAAAGATCTTATTTTTTTTTTTAATTTATGCTCAAACTTTATGATTTACTTGCTGAGATAAATACATTGTTTAGTCCTTCGCTTTTTCAGTTATTGATTTATAACTGAACATTCGTATGACAGAAACATGTTTATAACCATAGGTCATGGTTAAAATAAATAGAACGTAACTGCGAACTACTGTTTTTACTTTTTATTAAAACACGTGCTTTAATTTAAAACTGTTGGCTTTCCACTAAAAAACATTCTATACAAAGTCCTAATTTGAATATACTTGTAGTGGTTTTCGATATGAAATTATAATAAAATTGTAATCTATTTGTTTAATAAATGTATTTTTGTTATTAAAAAAATGTAAGAATTGTCGCAAAAAATAAATGTATAGATCAAAAAAAAAACCATGGGAACGGGGTGGTTAACCAAAAAAAAAAAAAAAATTATTGTACGAGGACATGAAGCCAAAAAAAAAAACTCATACAGAAGAAAAAAATATCTGGTCTGGGAGGGTCTAGAATGCGAGACGTGCGCGATCGATCGCTACAGACCCGTCGCGACGCCCCAGTATCCATAGCAACACGTTGCATAGCGGGCTCGAGCTATAGCGTTTACGTACGTATTATTATATCAAACCGGCTGGTTACCAACTATCTTAAAATTGAATATATCCGCTGCCCACGTCGGTTACCATCATGATTTGTCCGGTCTGATATTTATTGTATTTTGTTCCACCCACAACTCAGCTGACAATATTTACTCAATTAAATTCATTTATTACTGTTTAAATGACAGTATACACAAGGTGTGAATGAGATTTCCAGAAAGTAAAACCCTGTCAAGTGTATTTAAATCAGAAAAAAACGTGAATTAGGAATGCTATATTACTACTTAACGTAAAAAAACCATAAAGGATAATTATGCAGATTAATTGTATTTTCCTTTTAATCGAAAATCACATTAAGACGATATTTATTCCGGAATACAAATATGTTCAAAAAATGTATTTATTGTTTTTTGTATATCAATCAATTTAATACATTTTTTTTTTTTTTTTTAATTATGATTTATCATTATTTAAATTATGGCTCTAGTTAATTTTATGTAGTGATTTATCTTATGTGCCATTAATTATTCTTATCATTCAATTACAAAATAATCTTAAGAATTTGTCATTATCTTATTTTGAATACACTCGTGCATATAAATGTGTATATATTCATTTAAAAACAACAACACACAGTGAGAGTGTATTTAATTTAAATACAATCGCAGTTTGTATAAAAAAAAAAAAACTAAGATGATGATGTCACACCGATGGTTGTGTTGCACGTGGGAAAATAAGTTCTTAAATGTATTTTACGAATGATAGGAAAGTGATGTCAGAATGTTGGTTAATTTTATTACAGAATGTAAATAAAAAATATTTTCGAGATTGACGTATACATTATTATATTAAAATGTGCCTATATAAATGTAATGTTAATTATTTTTCTAATATAATTGTTTTCGGTAGCATTAAATTTAGAATATTTTTTTAATAATTTTAATTTTTGAAAACGTACTAAAAATCTTTATGAATGCGATTTTAATCAAATATATGCAACTGAAATAATAAACTTATACACTTTCACGCCCTCGTTATTATAGTCATGTTCGTTAACATTTAGGTGCGTTATGTATATTAATTAAAATATGATATACTATTAAATGTGTATTTGTATTTCGTAGTTTGTTATTATCGTTAATCGTGTTCTCTGCTTTGATAATTGAATCTATATGTGTTTTTAGCACTATTTTTCCTGTATCTAGAATTCTTGAAATATGTTGCTGATATAATTTTTCATAACTTTTGAAGTATGAATAATATTCCTAACGATAGTTTTCATAACTCGAAGATCATATTTCTTGAACAATATAGGTAAAACAACGCCTTTCATAATATTATAATTTTTAAATGTGAACTATGAAGTATTTTAAATGTGTGTTGTAATAAATTGATGTATTATTGAATCAAGTTCAATATGTTTTTATAATTAATTTATTGCTTATAAAATATAAGTAGGTACCTCTTAATTAATAGGTATTTGTATTTTAATTTTTTAATTTATACTAAGAAAACCGAAAGATAAATTGTTAAAATATTATTTTGTTAGTAAACAGTTCGCTAAACATTTTTATATAATCAATAAAAACAAGTATCTATTGTGATAACAATTTATTCCAAAAAAAAAAAATTGTTTATTTTATCAATTTTTTCTTGTGTTTGATGTTTAATAGTAACAGCGTTATTAAGTGAAGTAATACCTCTTATACACGAATTCGTTTTTTAATTGTTCATAATTTTTGTTACCTATTAGAATTTTGTAATAATCAAAATCTGGTGAACTAGTTTTTAATCCAAAGTTTTATTATGTAGGTCATAGTTAAAAATAAAGTTTATCTCATTGTTCTTAAATAGCTGTTGTTTGAATACCATCATAATTCAGGAATCCGGAAATTAGCTGATAATATAATAATGGTAACACTACATAAAATATAGGTCCCCAAAAGAAATACATAATATAATAGTGGAAAACCTTCAGGGTATATAGAAAACAATGTAGGTAACTGTAAAATCCAAAGATCGCGTCCTTCGGAGACATTGGAGACGAACAAAAGCGGAAGATGCGTTATTCGTTTTTCCCCTTAACCAATAGTTCCCGATACATACAATATTGTGGCATTGTATAATAGCTTTGTCGTGTCTTCAACCGGTTTATATGCCGCCGGGGTACATTGAACCATGTTATTTTTTTCTTTTTCTTCTGTTTTTCAACTAACACCCATCCTACCAACAACTATGGCGTGGTGTTCCGCAGTAGCGAACTATATTTATACATACTAACTATTAAGTACTGCTACTGATGTTCAAATGGCGCGTAACTGCGCAACAAGGGGATACATTGCTGTCGCCCCTCCACTAGCTAGGTTCTTATGCTCAATTTGTATTCGTATATATAAATATATATTTTAAATAGTCATTTTAATAATAAATTGTTAAATTCTACAAGGTACGTGAGATAAACATATTTTTTTGAAATGTTATCAAGTGTACTAAATATAATAAAGGATAGAACGCTTCTTTTAAATATATTTTAAGAAAAAACAATAAGAAGTTGCGTGGTATACATATGTGAAGAAATATTTTTTTAGATCATGAAAAGATCTATTTAGTCCCGCAGAAAAAAATAAAAGCAAACAGTTATGTTGTGTACTCGAAACTTTTTTTTTTCGAACAATTTAATGCGGTTAATAAAACATGTTGGAGATATCCCGTTGATAAATTGATGCTGTCATACCATATTCTTTGCTCTGCTCCCCCGATAATATAATATTATAAAATATGAATATATTGTGCGTACTTATTCATCATATTACAACTTTTGTCTCCGGAAGTCAAATGCGCTATTATTGATTTTTCAACCAAAATAGTCGTTCATAAATCATAAACCCAAGTAAATGTTTGATAGAGTACCTATTCACATTAATAAACTGCAGTAGGTATATTCGTTTTTATATTTTTATTTGTGACCATTAATATTTTGCCTAACACCTTAATATAATCTTTTATATAAAAATGCAAACTATTTGATTTAATTATTATTTTTAAAAGTATTTTATCGAACAATTAAAATTTTTTAAATAAATTAAACTATATAGGATTCTTTCATCGCAGTTTATTTAATAGTGTTTTAATTTTACAAAGATATGTTTTTAAACATTAGTAAGCACATTTTATACATTAATATTTTTATAAAATGCGACTTAATAAATCGATAAAATCTATACAGGTATTTTAAAGACTACGTAATATATTGTGATGATTAAATATACGTGTTGAAGGTTAGGATAAGGTTATTTTTTAATAATTATATATCTAATATCTTATTAAATACCTATCCAATATTTGTTTGTTTTCAACAGTGTAAATATTTGTTAAATAAGGACTTTAAACCTGTGCTTTTTGATAGTTAAAACAATGTAATATATCATACAAAAGAATTACTATTTTAAATTCTTAAATACCTTTATATTAATATATATTTTAAATTATCTGGATCGGACTTAACGTATTCATACTTTTTGATTAATCATTTTATAGATAATTTTATATTAATATTATGTAGATTCTAAATAAATATTATTTTAAAATAAATTATATGTTTAATTATATTTATGTTTCTGTGAATTCATGTATCACCACCCGAGCTCTTCTCCGCTTTCAAGACTAAAAATATAAAACTGATTAAATCAAATTGGTCATCAAACTATAGCTCATAACTAGAACTATATTAAGTACATTAGTAGATATTGTAATATATTTATAAAAAAAAATTTTGTGTAAGTACCTATCAATTAAATAAGTAAATATCAAAATTATTTATTTTAAATATTTTAGTTTTAATTGTACTTCGTTTTATTATTAGTTATAATTGATGATAAATTATAAAAATCTTTAGTATACTTTAATATACTTAGTACTTAAATAATAATATGGAATATAATTCAGAAACTATTATCGGTTTTTAGGGTAACCTTACTTAAACTGTAACATCTTTTTTTTATTTTTTCATAATGAAATGGTTATAGAATAGTTCAATTTATCTACTTCTATATTGGAAAAATCAATGTGTTTATTATATCATTTGTCATATGATCGAAGTAGGGCATGAGACATACGATAGGTCTAAGCCGATTCAAATCAATTGATATTGTCCTTAAGGATTGTAATAGTATATCTTTAATAATAATAATTTATGATTATATTTTATAATCACTAATATAATTTCATAGATGTCCTTTCTAATAAACAGATTTTGTTAAAATCATAAAATCTATATATTGATATGCTTTTTGCATGCAAATATTGTGATATAGTCTATTACATGAGAAAATCATGGTCCTAAATTCAAAATTAATTGTATTATTGGAGCTTATTTAAAAAATGTTATGTTTTAAAATTAATCAGTTTAGATTTTGAACGGAGCAATGAAATTATTGATTTTACAATGATATGATTTTATTTTTTCTGTATTTCATCATTTGGAGCATAAAATGCTTCGATTTTCAAAATTTTAAAAAAGACTAGAAATTTTATGCAAATCCAATTTTTGAAAAAATAATAGTAGATACTTGAATTTTTTTCCAAATACTTATATTATCCTTTTTGAGCTGTTTAGAGGCAATAAGGCATGACATTTTCAATGTTTTTTAAATTGATTTTCAATAAAAAAGCATTAAAAAGTTATTAGCTCACTAAAAACTCTTAAATATGTTATACAAAATTCCATATAAGTTGTTCTTTTATCTGTAAAAAAATATATGGGCATAATTTTTTTTCTATAGAAATTAAAAAAATTACTTGGTTAAATGATAAATAACGATGATATTTATAATGTTATGTGGTTTAAAAACATTATTTGTGTTACCTTAAAACTTTAACGTATACTTTTTACATTACTTATTATGAATGTACGACATCACAAAACTGTTACTAAATTTCTCGTTGTATAAGTTGTTATAATATTATAAAGATATGTATTAATTATAATAATATTAATAATATAATAAATGCAATATTTCCGGTAAAAAATATATTAACCTACCGTAGTATTAAAAGTAAAATTAATTACTTGAATTGGTGTATTATATGTATATCATGAAATTTAGTTTGTAGTATATAGGCAGACTATCTTTGCTTAAGAATGGGTTTTCCTGGACAATGATGTAGCATTGTATTCATATTTATTACCCCCCCCCCCCCCCGTAATAGTATTTAAATCGGCACCTAATTTACAATAAAACAGTCGTTTGTCTGCTTTTAATTTAATATTATAGTAATAAATGTGATTATATCGGTAGGTAGTTATTACATAAAAGTTCTGTTTAAAATTTTAAATGACTCATTATTTTATCAAGAAATTTTACAATTATATATACTATATCTTGAAATCAGTAGGTATTGAAGTTTCCGTAAGTTTATTATTTTCAAACTATAAAAATAAATAAATATTAATTTATTTTTTTTTAATAACCAACAAAATTACTATAAAACTTCATAATTGTCCACTTAAAAATGTTCCATCAATGTTGTTATCATAAATTTAATCGATTTTTTAAGTTGAAAATGTTCTACCTAAGAAAGGAGTGCGAATATCATGATATTCATTAAATAAGAAAGCATATTTTTTTTCTAACAGTTTTTATTGATATATATATGTACAACCCTCTATAACAGAAAATTAAATTTTACAAATTTAGTAATTTTATCGAATTCTTTTTAATTAATCTCATTGACTATAAACAGTAGTATTTATAATCGCTGATATTATGTATTTACAAAGGAATTCCTACTCCTTAATACTAAATATATATATATTTCATTTATTTTTAATATTATGTTCTAGTTCGATTTTTCTCTATACTATATTATAAATAATTTGATTCTCCACATTTTTTTTCTGTCGCTGTTCATCACGGTTGATCATCTTTATTCAAGGATCATTCACGTATCGTCCTAGTTAACATTTATGCAACTACCTATTGCGTATATAGCAACTGTAAGCGTATCTGAAAATCGAGTAAGCGTGGCGGGAAACGATATCAAATCAAAATAACAAATCAATAAAAAAAATAATTGTAAACAATATGTTTCATCATTATGTCGTCCCTCCATAATACCCGTTGCTTTATGGCACTATAAATATAACGTGTCCATCAAAGCTAAGCAACAGTGTTTAATCCGGTTGAGCTTGTCGTGTGTTATCTTGCTTTTAAGCAGTTTAAGTGAAATTACTATCTACTTCGTTACCATTAATATGTCGTCTAGAGATTCTACTTTGTTATTAAAGGTATAATAAAAAAATAACTTGCACTTTATGTTTTAAACACCTTCATAATTTATTTATGTTTAATTTAGATAATAATTGAAAAAAAAATAATTAAAAATTAGAAAAAAATTTTATATTACATAGAGTAATTTTATTTATTTATTTATAGTTTTATAATTCTTGCGTCATTATAAATTTATTAATTATTATAAACATTTCTAGTAAATAGTATTTTTTTTCTTTTTTTAAATTAAATATTGATATATTTTGAGTGGTTTTGAATATGTTGCTTAAATTGTTTTAATTTTAATGGTTACCAGGTACTCAGTTATTTTGTTCGTTATTTTTTTTTTTTTTTTTTTTTTTTTTTTTTTTTTATAATATCAATCATATTAAGCAGCCCTTAACGAGTATAGAATAGATGGCTGAATGAAAGAATGAAAAATATCTTTATTATTTATGGTGGTCTATTTTATTGGTCGGTTCCCGTAGGGGCGAATTGATTAATGGGAGAATTTCCTTAGTTGTTGACCTCTCAGTGGTATAAGACTTGCTTATTTATTGTCGCTGTTAATTGAACGTAATTCGATCATTGTACAATATACAAAAAAAGAAGTCAACTTATATCCCGTGAATAGTATTTGATTGTTAACTATTTTTGACCTTGCCCACATTAGTAAAATAAATCTACCATTGTCAATTGTGTATTATAAATTAATTAATATTATTTCCAGGTGGCCGAAGAAGAAGCAGTAAAAGAAACAGTTAAAGTAGAACCGGAATCTGCTGTTGAAGTTCCAAAAACCACTGAAGAACCTCCTTCTGTTGTTGAGGAGAAAGAACCTGAAACTGTTGAATCAAATGTAAAAACAAAATAATTGCATTAATATCTTAGTATTAATTAATTAATTATTTTATTTTAGATCACGAACGTGGCTGAAATTCCGCCTCCATTACCAAGTAGTCCTCCCCCAGTAGAAGCAACCCCTGTTGCACCAACACCAACTATTGTTGAAACTCCTGCTCCAGTCCAACCAGTGGAACCTGAAGTTGTACAAGGTGAACCCGAGGTAATAAAAATATTTATTTGATATAATATTCATGAATTTTATGGTAAATAACTGATTATTTTAGGATGAAACAGTAGGTGGTGGAGAAGGTTTAGCTGAACCTCCTGAAGGTTTAAACACATCTGATATTGAAAAAGAAGTAGCTGAAGTACCTTTAGTTAATGGTAATCATGTTGAAAGTGAAAAATCTGAACCATCCTCGCCTGATGTAATTGAATTTGTTTAACTCAGTATTTTACTTGTATACATAAATAATAATTATCTAAATAAATATATTTTGATGTTTTAGGTAAATTCTTTATCTGAAAAAATTGAAGCAATCAAGTTATCCAACGCGGCTGATATTAATGAGGCTACCAATGAAATTTCAAATGTAAGTTTTTCTACATTAAATTTTCTTTGTAATTTGTTTTTCTTAGTATTTCCCTTGGGTTTATTCTCAGAAAAATTATATTATGCTTGATTTTATTAAATAAACCTAGTATATTTTGTGGACATACATTAATAAACTTTTCAGATTTCATTACGGTAGTTGATTTGATTTTATGTCCCGTCCAATTTTGGTCAAAAATATTGGAAACTTAGAAAATTTGATTTTTTTATTCATTATTTATTACTTTACAGGATTTGCATGAAGTAAATGGAGTTTGTGATGCAATAGCAGTTACAACAAATGGTGATGCTGGACACGAAGAAGGCAATTAAAATATGTTCTGCGGTTTTTTTTTTTTTATTATTATTATTATTCACTAAACGTTGACGTCAGTTATCGAAAACTACACTAATGTTATTACCTACTATTTTATGTGAAAAAAAAAATGTTTTTATTTCATAGTAAATTCCTCTTTATTTTTTTTTTTTTAAATCCTATAACTAAAAAAAATATTCCCATTTTGATGATCATAAATAAATTTATGTATTGCTCTTTTCAAATTATTTTTATACTTGATTTTTGTAAATGGAAACAAAACAAATCTCTGCGACATAATACTTTTTTGTACAATTTTTTTTTAATCGGCTGTTTATAAATATAAATATTTTTTTTATTATTTATTATTATATTAGATTTTATACTTAAAAAATAACTAAATATAATAACATTAGATTGAAATTTTAAAAGTTAAGTCATAATATGATTTAAATACAATATCTTTCTTTTTTACACGTATTTGCTCTTTTGATAATGAAACGTATCGCTCAAATTTTTTATAACCAAAATACATTCCCGGACCAAGCTTAAATTTTAAATAGTTATTTTTTTTACTACTTATATGCCTGTATTTATTTATATATGCAATATAAATATATACAAAAAAAAAAAATGACTCAACTTGATCAAATATTAACTTCTATAAGTTTATTTATATTTTATTTATCATTTTTTTTAGCAATTAATTGTATTTATTTTAATTTAAAAATATTTATAAAACGTTAAAAAAAATTCTGTTATTTTTTATTTTCACCCCAAATTAAAGATTTAGTATTAATTTAAAAAAGAAAAATTGTTGTGAATTTTAGTGATAATATTATGATATTTTTGGTATGAGGCATGTATGCCTAATTATGTGAAACGAATTATCGCATACACGGTACATTCCATCTCACATTACATCTTCCAAAGGCGATTCACACTGTATATTATTTTTGTCTTATTATTATAAAAATTTTTACATTTTAAGTGTATAGTTACTTCCATAACATTTAGTGAGTATAATTTTTTTTAATGAAAAATTTTTTAAGTTTAAAACCGTTTGTACTTTTATAAAATTTACAAATTTAGAAGTAGATAACCATGGCTTTGTCATGACCAATGATTTGGTGCAAATATATACTATTTTTTTTTAATAATTATCAAATTAATCATAATAATATACATTTTGATAACTGGTGAGAATTTAGCGTTGTTGTTTTGAGCTCAAACCTTTTCACTGGTGTAAAGAAAATAATAAATAATTATATTGTAAAATATGTTGCTTTTTAGATTGTTCTTTTATATTAAATTTAATTTTTTAGCTTCAAAATTTTATTTAGTTCATAATTATGATTTTTTTTTTAACAGTTTTTTCAATAACTATACAATTTTTATTCAAATATGTTAACTATGTACTAGTTATTACTTATTATAGTTATTATAGGCATTAAATGACATAATATGTACAATAATTTATCATCGTTGAATGATAAATTATTTTTATGAATAAGTTGTATGCTAATGCAAGCCATCTTCATTGTAGATTTAGTATATTATTTTCTCTATTAGCCTATGTATATGAACATTTTTTTCTTTCATGATAAAATACTTAATTAAAAAAAAAATAAAAATAAATATCAATGTGTTTTTATTCATCCGTTATAATTTGTATACTTCTCTTTGATACAAAACATTACTACACCAAAGGTAATATAATATTAGTTATATGTATAATGTAACACAATATCTTTATTCAGTTAAAATTAAAGTAAATACTAAATCATGATGACTTTTATCTTAATAAATATAGAAATCACTTTTAACAAATAATTTATTATTATTATTGTTAAAATGGCACTCCTATACTCACTTGTATTGTCCATGTCTTATAAATATATGACATCAAATTTCCATTTGATTTTATTATTAGACTTGAAGATATGAACATTATGCTTTTTCATAGGTTTGTAGGATATTTAAATATTTTATCAAGTTTTTAAAATTTTAAAATTGTAACATTTTACATATGCACACATAAACTACTTAAAAATTAGAATATTATTCAAAACTCAAGAGAAGCGTAGAAAATGTTTTTACTTTAAACTTAATAATAATTTTACTAAATAATAATTCATTTCAATTGTCATTATTTTTATTATAAAAAAATCTTGATCTTAATCAGTATAATTGTATACATTTTAATCAAAGGAATGAATGGATTAAATTGCTGAATGACGATTTTAAAGCTTTCAAAGGTGTAAAGTAACAAAAAATATCATAATAAATCAATTTTATTTTAGTTTTATCTTCATTATCAAATATTAATCTAAAAATATTAAAATATTAAATCAGCTAATCTATAATATACTATGATATACTTTACTGTATATGTATCGTGTAATTTAATCACTAACTTTTTACATTGCAACTTTCATGTATAGAATTTATGATAAATGATTTTTTTTGTTTTTTTTTTTTAAAGAAATGTAACTTAACATCTTTATAAACTTATCCCACAAAATGACGCTGAACACTAAATGTAGTTTTAATGTAGTGTTCTTATTTCATTATACACGTGTTTCAAGGATTTTTCATTTTGGAAAAATAATGGTTTAGTCCAGCCAAAAAATTGATTTGGGTTATATATAACTCATATTATATTTAATTGTAATCTAATTACTATCCATTATATTGAGCTTCAAGTTCAAAATGCAGTCAAACCTAATATAGGTAGGTAGTAGGTTCCTAAATATTTAAATTTTTCACATTACGTTTAAACTTTAAACTAGCATTTATTAAAGATAACTATAGTTTATATCTCAGAAAAAAGTACCTACTTATTAGAAAAACTGAAATTTTCAACAATTTATTTTATTTTTACATTTAATATTTAGATAAATTAACTAATAGATTTAAATATTTAAAATAATATATTATTAACATAATAATAATATATACTTATGACATGAGTGTATATAGTATAGAAATTAAATTTAAAATATAAAAACACAATTGTTATTATTATCTTAAATTTACATTTTATATATTATCAATGACAGCTCGTAGGATGGTGCATAGTAGTGCGTAAATCGCCGAAAGAAAATCATTTAAAATAAAAATAAATATTTCTACAACTTTTCGTGTCAAGAAGTGTGTCTATTAACGATTAAATATTATTCGGCGGAGCATAGGTACATTCATTGTGCCCTTGACGGGCATACTATCAAAATTCGTATTTTACAGTGCTAAAGAGTTAAAAAAATTAAACTTAAACACGTAGATATAATATTTTATAGGTAAGGTACCCATATGTACCTATAACAAAATAAGTATTTTTTTACTAGTCTATATCATAGATAACCAATTATTTGTGCACCACTACGTTTGAACTTCTAAGTAGTCACTGCAGTAAGTATATCTATTATTAAATATTACATTTTTTAGTGGTGTCGGTGATTGAGTAGGTATAGTGGTAAGAAATTCAGATTTATTTTTATCATAGTTTTTTAGTCGCATGTGTATTGCCTTTTTGATTTCCACCTTTTTTGTGTATGTGGAAGTATGGAATAAAAATAACATCTACAACAGGATTGGCCAATTCAAATAATCTCACAAGTCACATTTGGAATGCATTGTAATCCCACGAGTCGTGCTTATACAATTTACGTATTCCCATATTACATTTTAACCCAATAAAAAAAAAAAAATTAAAAAAATATTTTTTTTAAAATGTGATAAATCTCGCGGACCGCGGATTGACCATCCCTGAATTATAACTGTAAAAATCATAAAATTAATTATTTAAAACTATATTACATTATGCAGTACCTACCTACATAAGTACCTACATAACAAATTATAAAACTTGGCGGATATTGCACAACTGAGATAGGTACGTCGGAAATATCCGATTTTCATTATCTGAGATGTCTATATTGAAAATAAAAAATTTTTATTGCAGCTACTTGACAATAACCTATTTATCATAATTTTTTTTTTAGAGCTTAAACTAAGAAGTGCGTGACTAATATACAACGTACCTATTCAAGAAGTTTGGAAAACAGTCATTAGAATAATTGGTAGTGACGAACGATAATAATATGTGATACAATATTTTATAAGGTTATTAAATATTTTACGTTATAAATTATAATCAATTTAAAGCAGTGTTTTTTTTCATTGCTCAGTGTAAGTATTAAAATATGCATGGAATTAAGAATGTCCAAACTTACTGAACACTCGATACCTACTTATATGAGTCTTTTTTTTTTTTTTGCAAACAAATGGAACATAACAAAAAAAATCGCAGAACTGTTACAAATTATAAAATCTTAATATTTACTAATAGACATTATTTTTTAATAAATTACCTGCTATAACGCATATGTAGTTAAATTAAACCATTTTAAATTTTCAATGACTAAAATGTTTACCCTCACTATAATAATACGCTGTGCCGATTATTTTGTTTTTGTCAGTATATCGAATTCTGCAGTTATAGAAGTCATACAGCCATCATCGCGCCGCGCTGTATTGTCATAATAATTCATCGAAATCGTAAGATATTTTAAATTGTTTTAAATAAAACTGTTTATCAATATAAACTCCCTAGAAATCTCTTTGAAATTAAAAAAAAAAAAAAAAATAAAATGCTAGTAATTTGAAAGAGGAATAAAGTGTTATTACAGTCAACAGTTTATTCAAATTATAAAAATAAACAATACTATTAAGTCCAGTCCAGTGTAGTGTGTAGGCACTTATAATATAATAATAGTTCTATGGCAGTGATATTGTAAATATAGGTACCTACATGGCTACACGATTGGGTTTACGTTATAAAAGCTGTTTTTGTAAAAAAATAATAATAACCCCCCACCCTTCCACTTAAAAAATAACCGGATACGTCACTGTTCAATATGATTTATATTAAGTATAAATTGTTGAAGGATGACTACCTAACACATATTATTTTTTTTCCAAAGAACAATTTTTCTTATTATTTCCATATTTGGACATGACATATTTATTCGTACCTATATACCTATATGTATTATTTTGTGTATATATAAATAGCTATAGCTCGTGCAAAGATCGAGTGTACGGATTAGTGATCGGAACTTGAAAGGTATGCCCATATAGCCAGCCATG